TGTGTGTGTGTGTGTGTGTGTGTGTGTGTGTGTGTAAGCCTGAATGTATGCTGTCGCTTCACTAGAAGACTTCATTCAAAGAGAGCAAATATTTCAGTTCTTTGCCCTCTTTCTTCTAAATCATGGTTGGCTGAGAGACCTCTGGCGATCTCTTAGAGATCTGGTAAAAAGAAGAAAAAAAAGGGGGGGAGGATTAGATTTGAATAGCAAAACCGGTTGTCTGATCCGTTATAGAGGGTGCCCACATACGCGATCGGGTCGGGTCGGATCGGGTCGATCTGGTAGTCGGGGCTAGCCAAATTGAGGGCTCAAAGCGACCATCGTGGCACAAACCGATCGACTCAGTCAGTGACCTACAAAGACAAACGCGTTTGTTTTCAGACCTGCGAATCACGTAATCGGGTGGTTTGCAGCCAATCACAACAAGGCTGAGTCACGTGTCCATGTTGACCCTCCAAATCCGGTGGCGCCCTCTACGAAAAAGTGCAGACTTTGCGAACAGAGTTACCCTCCTTGTGTAATAAACAATAAAAGCGAAACTAACAAACAGCTATTCCTATTTTTCTTCTGAATAAACGAAAGAGAGCTTCAAAACAACTTCCGCGGACAGACACTTTTTTGGCCGAGTGAACTGGAGCTATCTTCTTATGAACGATCTTTGATAATAAAAAGTTATCGATGTAACTATTGTAACCATGCTTATGGAATTCCAGGCTGTCGCAGACAGGGGAAAGGAGCCCTGTAAGCCATTGAGGTAAAAGGTTTCTCTACTTTAACTTGTAACAGGTCGTCAGGTACAATCGTGGCGGGGTTGTAGTGTGCTCTGAAACAACCAGAAAACGACCCGACCCGAACCGATCCGATCCAACCCGATCCGCTCTGGCTAGTGGGCACCCCCTATTAGCTGTTCCAAGTGTATAATATAGAGCTATAGACATAACAAAGGCGAGCGTCGAGTCAGCGCTGTATAATCGACAGCAGTTGATGTTTCTTTCTTACGTTCGGTCAAAATGGCGGTAATCTGGTTGCTCCAGGTCCTCTTCACCTCAGCACTGGGCGCTAGCTGTCTCCACAGAGGACAAAGAGCGGCTGATGACGGGTTCCTCATGGTCAACACCAGCTACGGCACTCTCAGGGGAAAGGTGGATTCTACACCTTCAGTTCCTGTGGCCAAGTTCTTGGGTATTCCTTATGCTAAACCTCCAACAGGTGAGATATTTTCTTTTACTCGATCTAGTCCCCTGGCCTTCTCTCTCTCTCTCTCTCTCTCTCTCTCTCTCTCTCTCTCTCTCTCTCTCTCTCTCTCTCTCTCTCTCTGTATCTATCTATCTATCTATCTATCTATCTGTCTGTCTGTCTGTCTGTCTGTCTGTCTGTCTGTCTGTCTGTCTGTCTGTCTGTCTGTCTGTCTGTCTGGATGGTATTTCCCTTGCACCCAAGCTGACTATACCATCTATTTCTGATAGACATTTCTTTTCATATTTAATGACTGGTAACTTCCTCGAATTTTTGCCAAATCACGCTTTTTTCACTTTAATTCAGTGGCTCCAGTCATTGTAACATTTATGATATATGTCAAAACGCAGTAGAATCAGGCGATTGTCAATATTTGAGCATGTGGAGTTATTGGCACCATCTGAAAGCTTGCTCATTTGACTATCTTTCAATGGAAAAAACACATCTCGCGTAAATAAAACTGGAGATATTTGTGACTGAATGAGGTTGGGGTGGCCTGGTTTTCGAGGTAAAACTAGCGAGAAAATGGCTCCTACAGTTTGTTGATTTTCAAATCTTGAAAGTCCTTGTAAACTTAAAATCTACATTTGTTGAGCCTTTAATCAAAGTTGTTGAGTTCCATCATCACATAAATTTTTTTAAGATAGCATAAAATGTGTTGAACAAGAAAACAAAAATTCGAAAAAAATGTTAATCTTCGTCTGGATTATTTTGACAAGCGCCTGATTACCGATTTCACCACGATGCTTCGCATATTTTCTTTTGCGCTATTTTGCTGAAATTTCTTTAAGTGATCTTGTTACGGTCTTGTAGGTTTGTGACAGGAAACTTGTAACAGCAAACTTGAACATCAATCAGGAACGCAGGAGTTTCGTCTTGGGTCGATCATGATGAAGCAGTTTATTCATGATCAATATGTAAAATGAACAATATCTACACAACATGTTAGATTATTTACATGATACAGAATACATGCTTTCATTAATAATTGACACTCACACGTCTCAGTCATTCTCACATAGAATAATACAACACCAGCCTAATAGTAAACGATGCCAAAGAATATGAAATACTAACGTGACATATGATATGAAAATGACATAATAAACAGCATAGAAGTGTTTCTACAAAGGGGAACAACTTAATAGCCATTGTCCTGCTAAGGGAATGAACCCCAAGCAGGTCTTATTATTTCCCTTACATAACCCCTCCCCTTCAGTCTGAAGGTATCTGAAGGCTAAAGTGTTCCCAGAAGCAATCACAACCTGAGAAATGTCAAAGTTCACAATATGTCCATGTTACGGCTGGTGACGTGCGTGTCGAGGGCGAAGTTGATCCTCATGTCGTCTCCACATCGGGACGTCTGGTAGCACACGGATCTCGTGGAGTTTGTGACCCAGAAAGGCGGTCACCACAGCTGGCTTCCATCTGTCCCTACGCTCACCTTTGTAGGAAAGCGCGAAGCATGGGCTGTCTTTCCTGAGATGACGAGCAGGCACCGGCTCATCTCGAACTCGGGATGATAGGAGGCTCCGTGCAGGTGTAGAATGCCCCACTGCTCACACCAGGTCTGGAACTCGGCTGACGAGAAACAGGTGGCGTTGTCCGTCACAATGGCGTGTGGATAGCCAAAGTGAGCGCCAAGGGGTGGATGTCAACAGAGAAGTCCTTATCGGGAATCAGACTTACTCTGCTCACCTCTCTAGCTTCAACAGTACAAAGTCAGCCATAGTGGTGTATCTGAAAGTCTAGCAAAATGCAGAGACTGAGGAACAATCAAAACATTTTTGTTGTTTGTTTTGTGAAGTGCCTTTGGTTATTGGAAAAAAAAATGGTGAAATGGTAAGGGTTTAACGCCTCTATCAACACTATTAGGTTATTTAAGAGGCGGGATCTCCTAGTTTAACGTCCGTCTCCGATAAGACTGAGCCAAGTGGGAAGTTCGTGTAAAGTGCCTTTCCCAAGGACACAACGTCGGACCGAGCTGAGGCTCGAACCCCCGAACCCGCAACCTCACGATTACGAGTCCGGTAGCCTAACCACTAGGCTACCGACGCCACGGTTATTGGCAAACTGTTCTCGAGACATTGCAGAGATACTGGGCCTAAACGTTAATTTTCTCAAAGTATGTATTGTTTTTTTAAAACGTTTTTCGCTTTCATTCATTTTCTGGTACTTTCATATTAAAATCTGTTGGTAAATAACTTCCTGTTCTTGTCATGTTCATCAATTAACGAGTGCAAAAATTGATGTGAAAAAATACTCAAAAGCTATTTATGATCATTCGTTTCTGTTCCATAATCGGGATACATTATCATGTTTCAGATGTCAGTTATTGTAGGAATCTGTTGAAAAAAAATGTGGTCACTTCAAAAATACCCTTCATTTTTCTGGTGTCTCCACTCCCTCATGGGTTCGTTCAGTCAAAATTACTGGTAGTCAGTGAGTTAACTATCTTGTGTCAAATTTGTATTTCCTTTGCACCCCATCTTAATATACCATCTCTTTTTTTGGGAAGGTTTTTCTTCATATAACATTTATTTTTTTCATAATTGGTGACTTCTGACTTGTACAATTTTTTTGCCCAAGTCTTATTGCACATTTTAATTTCTTTCCCTCCCCCTTTTTCAGGATCACTACGCTTCAAAGCTCCCGTTACTCCGGATAAGTGGAACGGTGTCAGGGATGCACTTACAGTTGGGAATGAGTGCTTGCAAAAAGATATGCCCCTTTTTAATTTTCAAAAGACCACCCCAAAACGAAGTGAGGACTGTTTGTTCTTGAACGTGTACTCACCCACACAGAGAAATTCCCAGACCCCACTGCCTGTGATGGTGTGGATACATGGTGGAGCGTATGTAATAGGGTCCGGTTCTCAATTTGATGTCACTTCTCTAGCGACAAAAGGAGTCGTGCTGGTTTCTTTGAACTACAGGCTGGATGTTTTTGGCTTCTTGTCAACCGAAGACGACACATTGCCAGGAAACTATGGGATGTTGGATATGATCGCTGCTCTACAGTGGGTGAGGGAAAACATTGCTTATTTTGGGGGTGACCCGAACATGGTGACTATTTTTGGGGAAAGTGCTGGCGCAGGAGCTGTCTCTCTCCTCACTCTGTCGCCCTTAGCTGATGGTCTGTTCCAGAGAGCGGTTATGGAGAGTGGCGTTTCTCTTTGTCCTTGGTCAATTGACTACCCAGGAAATCGAGTGTCGTCTCGCATGATAGCCCGGCTGACGAGTCAGGTCGCTCAGTGTGACGACTTGAATAATCCAACAGCGCTTTTGTCATGTCTACAACAGATTGATGCAAATAAACTACTAAATGCTTCCATTACCATTTTTAACGCATTGGAAGTGGGAATAACATATTTGACCCCTAGAGTTGAAACAACGTTTGGCTTCTTACCAGAGTCACCAGCTACTCTTCTCTCTAAAGGAAAAATCAGCCACGTAGACACCATCAGGGGCTTTAATAGTGATGAAATCGGATTATTTACTAACGTTTTCTCTAAAAGTCCACCTGTTCAATTCTCAGAGAAGGTGGCTAGACAAGTTATTGGCGAGCAGCTTCAACAATTCACTAAACGTGACCAGGAAAAACTTCTGAAAGTATTGACGTCAACGTTTTTGACAAACACGTCCAGCAGTGATGTCTTAAGGAGAGCATCTCTAGACGCCAGGGACAACTTTTCCTTTGTGGGTCCAACAATCGTGGAGCTGGATTACGTTGTGCGCAATGTCCCAGATAAGAAACATTACTTGTACGAGTTCAGTCACAGACCAAGCTTCAGTAAACGTCCACCATGGATGTCAGCTATACACGTGGACGAGTTATTTTTCGTTTTTGACGTTCAAGAGAAAAGGTTCACCGACAAAGGCTTTGGGCCTCCTGATGCTGACGACATTCAGGTATCTCAACAGATGATGGAAATGTGGACCAACTTTGCCAAGACTGGGAACCCGACGTCAACAGTGCCCACTGGTGGAGTGACGTGGAGCCAATACCTTAGCCCTACTGCACCTCACTATCTATTTATTAATTCTGCTTCTGAGTTAAGACTCTGGTCACAGCCTGATGTCGCAGATGTATCTCGCAAAGTTCTCGACGTTTTAGAGTGAAGCAGCACAGCATCCGTTAACGTCAGTATTGGGTAGAAGATTGAAAATACTGAACATAAAATTGATAAACTTTTAGTCATCCTTTTTCCTGTTTCAGTCTTCTTTTTTGTGTTTCAGTCATAATTGAAAAACGTGTTTTCGCCTGTCGTTTGACCTGTTTTTCGTAATTCAGATCATCTGACTATACCGTCTCTTTGGGGGGGGAGAGAAAAAATTTGCCTTGCTCAAAGCCTAAAACGAAGATGGTACTAACCGAACTCAGCTAACATTCAGACCGTTTATGTTCAAAGAGTAGCACTGCCCTGGGGGGGGGGGGGGGGGGAGTTTTCTTCACATAGGTATTTGTTGCAATGCTGATTTATTCGAAATTATTGCCCCAGCGCTACTCAATATTTTAATTTCTTCCCCTCCCCCTTTTTCAGGACCACTTCGCTTCAAAGCTCTTGTTACTCCAGATAGGTGGAAGGGTGTTAGGGACGCTCTTACATTTGGGGATGAGTGCATGCAAAGAGAAGTGCCGATTTATAATCTTCAAAAGCCTCTCCCAAAACGAAGTGAGGACAGTTTGTTCTTTAACGTGTACTCACCCACACAGAGGAATTCCCAGACCCCACTGCCTGTGATGGTGTGGATACATGGTGGAGCGTATGTAATAGGGTCCGGTTCTCGATTCGATGTCACTTCTCTAGCGACAAAAGGAGTCGTGCTGGTTTCTTTGAACTACAGGCTGGATGTTTTTGGGTTCTGTCGTTTGCAATGTTTCTTTTTTTTACAATTCAGATCATATAAGAGTGTTTTAATCGTTGCCTGCCTGTAAGGGCCAACCCGGCGCGAATGAGATACAATATCCCCCAGGAGATAGTCAAGTAAAAAAGAGACAAATTTCAGATTGTAGTAATCGATGTCACGTATTTAGCGTTCAAAAGCGAAAGGTGAGACGACTGACGACTTTCTGTTTTAGGAAGAACATTGAAGGGGCCTGGAAAACAAACGGTTTCCTATTGGATGTTGTTTTGAAAAATATGCAACCCCCCCTTTAAAAACGAAGTTGGTCTTCGGCACGATGTACTACCATCTCTGGGTAATCTGTAAAGACCCTTAAGGGCTAGTGGGGCACCTGAGGTCTATTTTGGTTGTTACAAGGCGTAGAGTGCCCATATTTGATGTGGGACATCGTGTGTTATTGAGGATTTGAAATCAATTGTTCAAAAAGTATATTATGAATCGGTTGCTAATGAAACGGCGGCCATATTGGATTTTGTATACCTTTTCAATCCCATTTTATTCCCTTATTTATTTACTGATTAACTTCTAGTTTGGCTTGCCAACAGTAAATAGGTATCTCGTAAATTTAGCTCGTTGAATTTTTGATATTTGCTTTAGTTTTTATTTTATGACACTTACAATTGGGTTGCTGAAAAAAAAGTGAAAAAGTGGAAAATGCTTTGTAAGCCCATAAATAAAAAACTACTCCATTAATCAAAATTTCAACAAGCCAGAATTTAGAAATTGGAAAAGAAACAGCAGAAAAATGGGATAATGTGTGAAAAAAACAGAATTGTGAGAAAACAGCCGATAAGGCTGGGAAACAATTGTGCTGTCGCAGAAAAATCTGACAATAAAACACAACTTTAGGGTGTAGCAAGTCTTACATAGGTTTTTGGATATTGTTCAAGAAATGTCCAGGCACTGTAATATATCCCCAATTTGCATAATTTGACCCAAAAACCGATTTCGTAACTCTTAGTCATAAATAGTTGAGGTAAAATCCGACACCCTTGTCGAACTTCGTAATTCATTGGAAATGTCCTTTCGACGTAACCTCTACTTTTTACACACGAGTATTTCTCTAATTTAACATTTCAATCCACTTTCAAAAGTTTGGGCCAAAGCCAGATACATCTAAGCTTTTGAGGATGCCGTGAGCGTTTATAGAATCAAATAACTGTTTAAAATCAACAATAAGAACAATTTCATATGAACCTGTGGTCTGTTGTCTGTGTAAAATATCATCAATGTCTTCCTTTCATAAATCCGGTTTGTTGTTCCCCAGCGAGCTTATATATATCAGAGTTAAGACTCATCGACAGCACTTTATTTAAATGTGCTCGTCTGTATTAATTTGTTAAGGAAATCGGGCACC